GCTCCTAGCCAAAACTCAGAGCCATGCTTGTTTCTTGAGAACGGGAGCTCGTGCATTAGATGAAATTTGAAGCCATGCCCAATGAATTTTTAAGTTTAGAGTACCAATCACAAAAAAGTCTTAATATCTATCGCAAATATTTATGTGACCACCTTGTGGGAAAGGTAAATGATCATCATTCATTTGATCTAATTTGAAATGAGTCATCATTCTTTTGATTAGATTTCAAATATCCCATCAATTTACACATTTCCATGAGGTTGAGAAGTTTATCAAATCACCCTTGGGTAAAATGTTTAATGGTTGATGTCTTAAATTTAATTTCATAAAGTCAAAAGACAGGTGCATACTATCTATTTACTTCCTTAAGTAAAACCCAATTTAAGAGTATTTTTAGGACCCCAAAAATGTTACTTTCATTTAGAATCACACTCTGGTTTTGGTTGGAAAAATAACATCCCAATATTGAGTGGAGACCATCTAAGTCTTAAAGGATGAGTGGAAAATGATCATATGGTGATTATTAGGTGAATCACGAAGACTTAACAGAATTAAAAAAAAAAAAAAAAAAGAAGAAGGGAAAAAGAAAAACTATTGGCTCTTTTGCACAAGGGAGAAAATATCTAGTGGCTCCCATGGCAGCATAGCAACGATCTCTTTGATAAGTTTCTCAGTAAGCCCAATAATTATTTAAAAATTGAGAAAATTTAAGCATTTCTAGGTGCTTATTTAAGGGATGAGGGTTGGAACAATTGGGGCTTTTATAGCAAAACTATAGTGCATTGTGGTCTTGATGACATATTGTGGTACTTAATCTCTTGACCTCCATTGCTTTGAATTCACCAGGTGCTCCACGTTAAGACTTTGTCACTCTTTGATTGGGAATTTGCCATGCGAAGTTCCGAAGTAATGACGCTTGAAGAAAAAGGGACAAAAAAAAGTCGAGCCGTTGGAGAATTAAAAAGAGTTTATTTTTTAGGAAAATTGTTTCATGCGGGCTGGACTGCATTTCTACATATACAGTCCAGAAGTATAAAGCACATATCTTAAAGATTAATGCAAATATGTGGTTCACCTAAAAACAATTGAAACTAACGGTCCAAATTTTTCTTCATAGGATTACTATTTCTAGTTTTTTAAATTTAGGGAAAATGACCTATCCCACTCCCCAAAACTTCCATCCCTGTTAACCCCTTTGGTTCACCAAAGTCTCTTGTACCCCCTCGAGTCTAAAATTTTGAGACCGTTAGCCCCCTAATTGTGTTTTTGTTTTTTTTTTTACAAATTTGATGTTTTAGTTTTACAAAATGTTACATTCCTTTTCTCTTCTATTGCCTAAAACCAATCTTACTTTCGTGGATGCCACTCTATAAATTTAGACACGAAAAAAATATGATTTTTTTTAAAATATTATGACCTATTTTACAATTGTATCAATATCTTTTGAACTTGAAAAATGATTAATCAAGATCTTTGTTACGATTGTTAATGAATTATCATTATTTATTTATTAATTTATTAAATTTTTTTATCAAAATACATATAACAGATAAATTATTTAACAATTAATATATTATAGTTGTTATGATAATTATTAATTAATTATAATTATAATTATTATTATTATTATCAATACAATTTGTATATCAAGTCACAAAACAGAAATATGGATGACTAATATATGGGTTTGCCATTTTGTAAAACAAAGAGATCAAATTTGTAAAAAAACAAAGAAAAACATAATTAAGGGGCTAATGGTCTCAAAGTTTTAAACTTGAGGGTGTAAGGGATTTTGGTGAACCCAAAGGGCTAATAGGGATGAAAATTTCAGGAAAGGGCACAGAGGTCATTTTCCCTAAAATTTATTTATTTTGTCATATTCATCATCTCCATATTAGAGATTATATATCCATGAAAATTAAGTCCAAATCCACCTCAAAAATAAATTTATTAAAGGGCCCGTATTTCTACCTGTGCAGGCTTGGCCCGCATGCTACCTGGGTCCTAGTTTTTTATTCAGTATGGCATCTATTTTGTTGAGGCGTGTCCATTCACGCGAGTCCTCCCTCTATAATCCATGTTAGAGTTGGATTTTGAATCTAACTTTCGTAAATCCGTAATGTAGACTATGAGGATAATGAATATGATAAAAAAATCTTAAATTTTAAAATAATAGCTTTCAAATTTATTTTACACCATTGGTTTGAGGTTTTAGTTGGATCACCTTTTTGAATTCCGTCTCAAAGAATGGACTTTCGATGCCTAGGGATGCATGAGTCCCCCGAGGCATCAAAAACACACTCTCTAATACAACAGCATAAAGAATGGGTTGCCGGTTTTTTTAATAAAAATTTCAATTTGGAATGTACCAAGATCATGTGGAATCACCAAGACCTCGCCCCATCGAAGACATTAACTCACCATTTGTTTTTTTTGGTAGAAACATCGCGCGTTAAAAATGTTAGGTTGGGCATAAAGGGGCGAAAATAGGACTAATTTCTTGCTGTTTTGGGGCAGGAGAGCTTTGACAGTACGATATTTGCCTTCCTTCAATACTGTGAAAGGTGTGCATAAGCGGGCGATTCATCTTTGGCATACAAAAAAACATATATTCTCTTTTTTAATGCTTCAAGACATTATGCACCTTAACTAGATGTCTGCTATAGAGCATCGGAGTCTTATTTTCTTAGAGAGAGAGTTAGATTTGAGAGAGAGAGAGAGAGTGAGAAAAAGAGAGAGGGAGTGTGTGAGAAAAGCAAATAGAGAGAGATGGGTGTCAAAGCTCTTTCGAATTCATATAGAAGATGGTGTAAATAGTGTGTTTTTATAGGCTTCCATGTTTCAACGGCTAATGGCGGTTGGATGTCTCTACATACGCCAATGCAAGTAGGTGAAGTACAGAGTGCTTCATCAAGGACCACGTCATTAAATGCCCTTGTGCCCCCTTGCACATGCGTGAGTGTGCATGTGCCATACGTATTGCACGCTTTGTGTGCTTTGCACATGCACTATCACTCTCACCTTTGTTCTAAGAACATAGGGTATTCGAATGCTTACACTTTAATACCACTAAATCAACATGATCTCCTCTAAGGTGGAATTAAAAACTTATACCTTTCTCTCTACAAATTAAAAACTTAAGGAAACCACAGGAAACATAGTGTTATTTGAAAGCACACAAATATTTTTACAAAATCAAAGATACTAACATATCCTCTACCATTTCAAAATAACATGAAAAAATCATCATCATCATCAAAGCTTTTTGAAAGTTAATAGGAGTCAGCTACATGAATCCTGATCCACCATTATGTCCTATTAATGGTCATATCCTAAATTGAACGAGGATTTTCAAGCCATCACAATATTTTCGACACTAGAACTTCTTTGGGCAAAATTTAGAGGTGCGCTTTACTTGTATAGCATAAGGTGGGCTACCTATACAAACCTTATCCTATACTATAACATATTCAATTTTAATACAAAGAGGTCATAACCAGTCTTAACCGTTGGATGTGAAATCTTATGGATTGAAGTGTGTCACAACATTCAAGAAATTTTATTTTGGATATTGTCTCAGCTAATGACACACCCCAAACTCCAGATTTCTCATCTAATGGTCCATAATAATTGCAACATCCTTGTATCAAAGTAAATAGTCTTATTATATTGGGAAATTATCAAACATATCCATATAACTTTTCAATATTACAAATTTACGAAATTCCAGTCATACCTATTTTTCTTCCGTTTGTTGTTATTCCTTAATTGCCCTTAGTACATATCTATTAGATGGGTTGCATTGTGAAGCACTACGGAATTGCTACCGATACGGATCCATAGCGGTACCGCTAGATCCAAGCACTGCCGCTGACCTATTTAGGTCTATAGTAGTAGTAACATATACTCGAGCACCGTCACGAATCTATGGCAGGGCTTCTTGGACCCCAGGAAGGTCTTTGGTGCCTTAGGTAGTACTACTGTGGGTGTAATAGATACATAGCACCAAAGAGTGCAATCAAGAAATAACCCCATAAAAAAGAAAAAAGCAAAAAGAAAAAAGAAAAAAGAAAAAAAAAGAAGGTATGAGCATAAATAAGTGAAGAATTTGGCAAATTTGTATTATTGAAAAATCAAAAGGATATATATGATAATTTTCCAAACATTACTCTTTAGAAGTTCCAATTTTTTCAATATGACCTACGGGTCCCTGTTGTAAGGGTTACCCCTTGCTCCAACCTTAATCAAATCATTTCTTTACTAAGAAGGTTGTGCTTGATCAAGCAAGGTCCCTCTAGGTTCGCTCAGAAAATTTTAGCAATACATATTTTTGTTTGGCCAATGAGTGCATCTAATTACTCAAGAAGATTTTTTGGATAGGAAATAACCAAAATGAATATTTCTAGACGGAAATGGAATTTGAGTTAGTCCAAAAAATGGTCTTTTTTTTTCAATATTAGGATGTTATCTTAACGTGTACATGATTATCTTCTTTAATTTTTTTTATTTTTGCTTTTGGAAGTTGGTTAGACAGACGATGTTACGCATGAAAATTTGGGGTCCCAAGAACACTGCTAAATAAATTGTACCAATGGAGTAAATGCCCGTTATACTTCCACATGAGCATATAACGTTCAAATTAGCACTTGCATTACATTCATTATATATACAGAAAGAAAATACCAAGGAAAAGCAGTCACATCATTTCCTTCAGAGGAAATTGGCAACACCATGTATAACTTTATTTGATACTGCACACATATAGACAACTCAATTTTTTCCTAGACATAAGTAATCAAACATATTTTGAGGAATAATATTGTTTTCTAGCTTGGTAAACATGGGGATCAAAACTATAACATAGGGGACTTTGCATTATGCATAGCTCCATAACACAATGGGATAGACCTCCAAGCTGTAGCTGACATTAGTGCACCAATAAATTTTCTTGGTGCTTTTGAGCTATATACAGTCCTCTTCAACTATTGAACCCTTCATTATCAACCCTCTATGCCAGCCATCCAAGGCATGAAGTTAGTCACACTTGGCCCAGGGGCTGCAACTGTAATTGGATTTGGATACCCAGATGGGTAACTGATTCACCCACCAAAACCCAGAGAAAATTTTAATCCTTTAATTCCAGAAAAAATAATAATAACAATAAATAAAAGAAAAGAAAGAGAGAAAAAAACTACAGAGAAAGGTGAATCATCTTGAAAAGCTGATTTCTGTTGTTTCTTTCTATCTTGGGGTAGGTAGCTAGGATTTAACATACTCATAAGCAAAAGTCGAGATTCCCAACCCAAAGGAAGAGTGAAGAAGAATGAGAAAAGATCCATGAGACCAGAACCAAATGAAAGAAAACGGAGGAGGGAAGAGCCTTTAAGTACCCTATTTGTAGCGTGGGGTCACATTCCAAAGGATGAAAGAAGTTGTCGGCCTGGGCTTGAGCCGGCTGTCGATTGTACTCCATCTGGTGGCCAGTAGAGTCCCACCCTCCTGCTGCTTCTAGCTGTACATTATATGAATAATCTAATTATCTTGCTAATAAAAATACCACATTTTTTTCATTTTTTTGGTTACTTATTACAACTAATAACTTTCCAATTTTTTCAGAACTTGTCAAAGAAAACATTTTCTTTTTCCTTATTTTACAAAAACTAAGTGGAAAGTGACACCACAAACTAATTGTGAGCACTGTTGGATTAAGCTCGGCTGTGGAACTCGGCCCCTGGTCAGGCCGAATTACTCAGGAAGCATTCAAGTCGAGTCACCTGAGTCTATATGATGCAGCCTAGTGACTTAAAAAGCCCCCCCAAAAAAAAGAAAAAGATTAAAAAAATTAAAAAAAGGAAAAAATAAAAAATGTTAAAACAACAGATAAAGCACATAAAAGATGAGAAAAAAAGTTTCCAATAAATTAAATAGAAAACTTCTTAAAGAGCATATTTTTTGAAAAAAAAAAGAGAACTTAAAAAATAGAAAAAATTTGAAAAATAAAATCATAAAAAGTAGAAAATAAAACCATAAAAAGTAGAAAAAAATATAAAATGATGTAATCAGAGATTAAAGCCATCATAAATGAAATGTAACTAATTGTGTACTACTGAAATAACCCCCGAGTTTGATGGGGTTCTCGGGAAGTAATTTAGCGAGATGAGTGCAACTCCTTTGAGTAGTCAAACACTGGTTGTGAGAAACACATTGTACGATCCTGAACTTCTTATTTATTGACTTAACCAGACATGAGAGAAAATGAAATAGCAAAAAGATTGATATTCTAAAATAAATATTGCAACATTAAATGGTCGTCGGTGGTCTTTGCAACAATAGAATTTCGTACCTTTCTTTTCAAAGCATTGTTAGATTCCGATAATGCTTGTTCCTGCAAATCTTCAGGCATTAAATTTTGAAAGGGATAGTGCAAAATTGGTAATTATATTTAATTTTGTTAATTTATGAAATGTACCTTTCTTTGGAGGTCGGCAAGCTGATCGATCATGTACTGCGTCTGCAAGGGCACCAAAAGTTGGCATTAAGTGAGAACTGTAAGATGCAGCAGTAATTTATGCCCCACGTCAAAATATAATTTTTTTTTAAATCAGGGAGATTCTACAGCTGGTTTTTCTTGATTGGCTTCTTTATTATATGAACACTTGTTTGTAAAAATTATGAACATAGAATTCATGGTTGTTACTTTTATTTGTTCTACGTTTTCATGTATAAGGTACAACTGTTATGAGGGTGTCATTATGGGCTGCACATTGGGGCCTTGTATTCTTCTTTTAAGCCTTTCAACTGAAGGCGGTTAGTTTTGTTGATCACATTGGTTGTTTTGTTGAAAATCCAACCTTGCACCTTCTATTTGCCATGGTTTAATGGGGGGTTGGGGGCATCGTACTCAGGATGTAGTTCTGTAATTGTCAAATCCCTATCCATTCAGACCAGGTCCAGAATTCTTCAACACGCTACGCTTTCTTTGAAAGATTACACACAAAACCTCCAACCCATAGGCCTCCCTTGAAAGAACAAATGCGCACACGCATGCACACAATTTGGGGGGTTGTTCTTCCTATCAGAGATCCTCACTAGACAAGCTTATTGATCAATCAAGACAATCCACATGAACTTGAGGCTAACGAGCATGCTAAGTAATTGGCGGGTGGGAGATGGTGGGGGGAGGGGGTTGGCTGCTCGAAAACAACAAGAAAAGCTAATATTGGTGGGGCTAGGTAAAAGAAGATATTATGAGATTATTTGTTGCCTCTTCAAAATCCATTAAAGCAAGGGCTTTTTAGAAATTTTAGTTTCATCCATATTATTTTTTGAATATTAAGGAAAAATTGCTGCATCTGAATTGTTTGAAGCTATTACTGCTCGATGTAATTTTGAACTTCTCCTAACATAATAGAGAATCGTTTCTTGTTCTCTATTCTTGCCTACAGCTAGAGAAAAATAATTAGGGATCGAAACAAAAGATTGGAGAAAAGGAATTCAGATTGTTTATCATGGAGACAAGATGGAACTCCATCATATGAATAGGCTAAAATTAATATGACTTTTCTTCAATGTACCTTTATTGATCTGATCTGCTTCAATGACATATCTAGTTGTTGCTCGAGTTGCTCCAACTCCTTTCCACTAAGAGGACCCAAGTCCTCACCAAGAAGATTTCTGCAATTTCAAAATTCATGCAATCATCAACTTCAAGTCTTTTAGACTTGGTGAAAAGTATTGCATTTTTAGACAGTGTGTGCAGAGATCCATTATATTTGATCAATAACATTATGCAGAGATTTACCTTTGAGAACGTTGCAGGGCCTCGAAATGTGCCTTGAGCCTCAAATACTCTTGTTGGCTACTCTGTTGATTCAATGATCAAAATTTGCTTCCTTATGAGAAGTGCAACATGAGTACATGATATACATCTTATGCTAAAATTGGACTCAGATAATAATCTTTAACATGTGCATATGGAAATCATATCGCCTTGCCCTTGGGTGTATCTCTGATACATATATTTATATTGGTAATAAGAATCAAATTACTATTCTCAAAGGCACATGATCCAAATTACACTTTGCAAACATGTCAGCAGAAGATGCTAAAAACACATCGTGGACGTTATAAAGCATGATTTTTATAAAATAAAGCTAAATTGGTTCAGGTGTTGACTATTGCAAGACTACATCCCATGTTTGAATCCGACATCAGGACTACCCTAAAGAAAATAAACCAAGTTATTTACAGTGCCATAGTAAGCAGCTAACAAATTCAAATTGTTTAGAAGCCAAATAGCCTCGTTTTCTTTTTGGGTAAATTGTCCTAATAACTTCCTCATGGTGAATTGCTATATTGTGACAGCTACAGAGGTTGGTTGTTTACAGGTCAAAAATAGCATCATTGTATAAGCACAAGTGATGACACCTGTTAACAATGTAATGCAACCTTTTACCTTAGTAAGTAAAAATGATGTCCATCATTTACTTTCTTTTTGGACCGGTGGCCATTGAAAAATTCAGAAGAGCAAAATCATATAGATAAATATTAACAAAATATCATAACCTATCGAAAGCCCCGCTCTATACACATTCTCTTCCAATCTATTCAAAACATGACGCGGCCCCATGCACCTAAACTTCAACTTATGTTACTGCCCCAAAGGAAATCTCTCCTTTTGTAGGTAGGCCATAACTAAAATCACCCTCATTAAGCCATTTTCGGTGCCTGTGTTGATCAACACCATCTTTGTAATGTGCTATGTTCCTCTTAAGCCTTTCTATCATCTCTGACTGAATATCTCGAATGTGTTCCACAACAAAGCCTTTTTATCATTTTTAACTCGCACCATAACCGGTAAATTCACCAAATCCAATACCTGCTTCGGATTCCTGCCATGAACTACTTCAACAGGTGGTTGCCCTGGGGTTCTATTTCCTGCACAACTATAGACGAACTCAGCTTGAGACAAGAATAAATCCCACTGTTGTGGTCGTCCTCCTGTCAAACAACACAAAAGATTAACTAAATTCCTGTTAACTACCTTTGTTTGACCATTTGGTTGAGGATGATACCCCCTGCTGAAGTGCTACTTTGTCCCCATCTTTTGCCACAAGGTCCTCCATAAGTGGCTCATAATGCGTGTATCTCGATCAGAAGTCATAGTTTGGGAACATCTTTAAACCTAACAACTTCTCTAAAATATAGTTTGGCTGCCTGCACAACATCAAATTTTGGCAAGCTATAAAATGCACCATCTTCGAGTAACGATGAACTACTACGAAGATAGAGCCCGCTTCCCCAGTTGTTTGTGGCAATCCCACCATAAAATTGATACATCTTCCCATGACTGTCATGGTACCCAGTATTTTAAGTCGTCCCTTTCACGAGCTGGCATATACAACATTTATCCACAAACCTCGCAACATATCTCCTCTGTTGTGGCCTAAAATACTTGTCCTTCATCAAGGCTAAAGTGTGGTCCCTGCCAAAGTGAGTTCCCAGACCACCACTATGCAATTCAAAGAGTATCTTCAACCTCAAGAAGCCATCTAGTATCCAGAGGTGATTTCCGCTGAAAAGAAACCATCACGCAAAACGTAATGTTTAGTTGGTTTTGGGTCTCCCTGTTGTACTTGATAAAAACTTTCAGCGAAATATGGGTCATTAGCATATTGTTTTCATGGCCCACAACTAATGTCGACAGAGTACTCAAAATAATGGATCTCAAGCGCAATGCATCTGCTACTTGATTTTGACTTCCAGCCTTATGTTTGAGCACAAAAGTGAATTCTTGCAAGTATGAAACTCATTTGGCATGCTTTCTATTCAAACATTATGACTCTTTAGGAACCTCAAGGCCTTATGATCAGAATACAATATAAACTCCCGCTGAATCAATTAGTGCCTCCATTACCTAAGTTCTTGCACGATCGCATATAACTCCAAACCATATGTTGAATACCGTGACATAGAATCACTCCGCTTCTCCTTGAAGAAAGCAACTTGGCTTGAAACAGCCCTAAACCTAACACATGATGCATCACAATCCACTTGAAAACTTTGTCCAAATTTAGTGAAGCCAAGACAGGTGCCAGTGCAATCATTTCTTTAATCAATAGGAAGCTATCATTAGCTGCATCTGTCCAAAAAAAGTTGCCTTTTAGCATACAATCTGTAATGGGAGCTAGCAAGTAGTTGAAGTTTCTAATAATCACCGATAAAATGTAGCTACACATTGCCAATTCAAGTCGGTGTCGGCCCATCAATGATTGCTTGAATCTTAATCGCATCCACTCTAATATTCTTAGTGAAAATAAGACTATCTGTCAGGAAATAACGCTTCTTAAAATTGATGAACAACTTTTCAGCCTGTAATGTTTCCAGAATCCTCTTCAATGAACCATATGTTTCTCAAATGCATTTTTGTAAATCAAAATATCATCAAAATAAACAACAACAAATTTCCTTATGAATAGTTTGAGCACCTAATCCGTAACCCCCATAAAATTATCAGGTGTTTTAGACAAGCCAAAAGACATCATTAACTATTCATATGAATATTGTTTTCCTGTCATCTCTCGATATAATTCTGATATGATGATATTGTCATATCTCGATCTAATTCTGATACGAAGATAAGTCGATCTTGGAAAGCACCTTAGATCCTAATAATATGTCCATTTTATAATATAAGCGGGTATAGGAATCTATGCCTTGACCGTGATATTGTTTATGATCTCTCTCCACACACATTCACCAAGTGCCATTTTCTTGGGAGTCAACAATGCTGAGACAACACTAGACTCTCAATAATCAACCCCTTAGCAATACATTCGAAACTTGCCTATGTAGCTCATCATGCTCGCGAGAACTCATGCGATAGTGTGGTAGATTTAATAATCTAGCTCCAAGAACTAAGTCAATATAGTATTGGATATCTCTCATGGGAGATAACCCACTGGGTAATCCTTCAGGCATCAAATTCTTGATTTCATCTATAAGTGGCTTAACTACCATATTGCCCACCTCAACACCATTATTATCCTTCATTATTAAGGCAAACATAAACCCTTTTCACCAATTTTAGGCAAAAAATGATGCAAGCATAACTGCTTTGTTTTTTTTTTTTCCATGGTAATCCTATATTTATCTTCATTTCTCAGAGTATGTAATTCCACATTCACACCATCCTATGTAATTTCTGGCTATTATATATTATGGAAGGATTGTACTGCCAACAGTAAGTGACAGGCATCCATTGGAAATGCATCACACAATACAGAATCATTACACTATTTACCAATAAAAAAAGAAAGCAAGCAACAAGAAACCATAGGAACTTCATTAACTTGTTTGAATCACAATAGCTTGTAGGGTTGGTGACGCTTCTCTTTCTTTAACTTCAATTAATTCACTATCTCTTGAAAAACCATGTTCGCTGAGCTCCTGCTATAACGACTATGAACACATAATTCATCTTGTGCGAAAGATGCTAGAGTGCAGCCATGGCACGTCAACAACCTTGAATATAGGTAGCTTAGGTCGAATCACTAGGAGCTTGCCATCATTTGCCTATGTGTCCTCTTAACCTCCCTTGATATTTGCCGCACTCCTTTCATTAGAGTGCACATTTTCCTCGTTACTGTCCACGGTTTCCCCTTGCAAGTGCATATAAGCTTGGCGCTTTGGGCTGTCATAAGACCAATGTTAGAGTGCACATTTTCCTCGTTACTGTCCCGGTTTCCCCTTGCAAGTGCATATAAGCTTGGCGCTTTGGGCTGTCATAAGACCAATGTCGAGGCTTGCCACACTTGAATCAAATTGCCTATTTAATGCTGTTTTGGGACTGTTATGCTGTACTAGGCCTATTTTGGCAGGTTTAGGGCTTAACCGACCTCCTTCCTCACCAAGAGACTGATTACAACTTTTGCCCCCACTACCTCCTCCTATTTTGTAGCAGTTTATTGCTTATCTACAAAGCGATTGGACTCAGATTTGTGCAACTTAGCCTCGGCTTTCAAAGCGATTCGGATACACCTGATCCAAAGTAAAAATATGATGTATAGATTGCTCATCTTGTATCGCAACATGCAGCCCACAAGTATACGTTGAAATCATCTGGTCATTGGACTCTGGAATATCACTCTAGCTCAATAACTAATAGAAGGCTTCTAAACAATCATGAACCATGCCATCTTTTTGGTAAAGATATTGAACATAATCTATGGACAAGAATTTTCCCTTCAAATATCTTTTCATCTTCTCTCAACTGCAGATCTCTTGCTTTCTTTTTTTTTTCTTTTTCACGTGCGATCTAAAAAATTGGCTATGTGGAACACAAGGTATTAAATTCAAAATTTTCTTTTACTTTTATTTAATATACTTGAATTCCATTTACAAAAGCCACTAAATATTGATATAAATAAAAATAATACCTGAGATACAACCTATGATCTTTATTTTTACTGTCAAGAAAAATAAAAACTATCTATGAGCTTAAAACAAATTTCCACTATAATTTTTTTAGTACAAAATTTCTTGGATATTTACAGAAATTAAGAAAAAATACTGAAAATTAATTGAAGTTACTGGGAAGACTTTCTAGAAGATGTATGGACTTATCCTCACAGGTCTTGGTAGAAATTCTTAGATAGAGATGTTTTTTTCTAGAGCTTTTCAAGAACTAAAACAACAATTAGGATTTATAGAAACCTTATGTGAACAAACTAGGGTTGAACTTGTAAGTTGATCTCTTTCTAAGTTGGTCAATTCTCTTCTTTTCTCCAAAATACAACAAACTTTTCTTTTTTATTTTAAAGATCCTCTGTTTCTTTCTTTTAGAACCTACTCAACTAAGGAGAGAGGGAGAGAGAGTATCACGACTTTCTCTAAGAGAAAAGAGGAAGGCATAAATGATAGGAGAGAGAGTGGAGGATGTGAGACAAAAATAGCAAACAAAGTCAATGACATGATACAAACATAGTAGAGAGAATGGCGTGATATAAAAATAGGAGGAAAGAGAGTGGCGAGAGAGAGATCTATTTCATGTCTTGAATAAGATTCCAATCTAGATATGCCTTATCCAATATCCAGCTAGACCTTTAGGACAATTATGAAATCTGTGGGGTGAGAGAGATTTAATCAAAGCCATCCATCCCACTAATTAGCTATCATGATTTTGGATAGAAAGATAGGAACTTTATCTTTTTTTAAATTTTGACCTAAGTCCAACTCTTTTTTAAATTTAAAATATAACCAATCTTATCATTATCTACATCTCCCATAACCTAAGATAATCTATATTTTCAAAACTCCCACTAAGATAACAAACCAAAGCTAGTTTTTTCCCTAAAAAGGTGGTGTGCCACTTTTTGCTTAAAAGAAATTTTGGGAGTGGCCCCTAAGGGGCACATGGGCCCCACATAAAGATACACACATGTGGGGCTTGATCCTTCGTCCCATATATGTATCTTAAGTTCTGAATTTTTTTTCAGAAATATTCATTTAATTTATTTTACAGCAAAAATAATATTTAAAAAATGTAAAGAAATATTTAAAAATCATAAAAATATTCTAATACCAAAATAAAATATATTAAGAGTAGACTGGTACCAATAGATCATAATTAGCAACAATAAGAGCACTCAACTCACCCTAGAAACTATACTCCACTACTGTCTTCGTATCCAACATAACAAAGGCCCATGACCCACAATCTTATTTCAGGGGCTCATGATTGGCTTGTAAAAGCCGACTGACTTATAAAAGTTGGAAAATAAATAATGGGATATTGATCATGGAATGTGGATTTTCAGTTCCCCCATTTAAAAGTAAGTCTAGTACTTGTCACTACAGTGCAAAGATGACTATCTCTATACCAATGTACACATATCCCTCTATAGGGCAATGCAGTTGTCATGTGTACATGCTGTATGGAATGTTGTTAAGGCTTTAGCCCTTACTCTCACAGGCCTACAACTGCACACATGAGACCACCCAATTCTCCTGGCCTAAAAATATCATATTTGGGCATCTCTCGGATCTCAACAAGGGATGGCATATTGCAAACCCTTTTCGATTTTGCCACATGCCCAGAGATAAGGTTTTGCACATGACCAAGGTCATAAACCGGCCAACTCTTGGTCAGTTAACACACACTCGCAATGAAGTGCATACTCCATTATAAAATATTATATTTATAAGCTCTCCAGGCTTTTAAAGGCCACAAAACCCAACACGATCAACCCATCTTTGCTGCTGCGACAGCTAAGCATGGCCTTTTAGTGTAGTACCAACAAATCTTACTTTTTATGCTCCGCCATATCGTTCCATTGAAGAAATTGTTACACACTTGCAAGCCAATCAAGGAAGTTATTCTATTGTAATCTCCTTGTAAAATTAAGCACATCAACCTTAATACTTTGTTAAGAGCCTTCAAGCACCTGAACCTACTAATCTTCAAATGGATATGGTTTCTTTCTCGTGACCGAAGTGATCCCTAGCTGTCCAAGTCTGAATCATCTTTCAATTTCAAATCTGGTCTGTGTCTGAATTCTGAAACCCTAGGGACACACCTTATCATCCCTATGTTCACCCCTTTGTTAGAACAATTCTAAGGTAATGTCTCTTATTTGGTGCACCTTGGCAGCCAGTGGATCGAATCTTTGAAGAATACCCTCCAACTCCACCATAGTGGGTCTAACTCTGGCACCTTGACTGTGACATCCTCTCACACAGTCTCTTCCCCGTAACTCTTGTGTGGCCATCCTCGTGTTTCAAAAGAAAGTGAATGCCATCGTGCGTGGCGAACATTGATATGCTTTGATACTAATTGGTACAACACAAAATATAGATGAAAAGAATCCAATAAAAAATGGGGCTTGAACTCATAGATTCACTAAAATTGAAGCTAGAGAGGCTTCAATGGAGAGAAGTCTCTCTACAATAAAAAATACAACACTACTCTTTTAACGTCTTTACAAAGTCTTAGATAATTACTTTTCTAAATCTTAAATTATAATAAAACATCAAACTATCCCTATTAATTAATAAAATTCTAAATAATTCTCAAAACTCCACACCACCTCTAAACAATATTAACAATTCTAGCAATACCCAAATAACAATAATTCGTGAACAACACTTGGGAATAGTAATGTAACTCATGAATAGTGAAACATAAATAAAAAATTAAATTATTAGATATGATGTCAGGATGGCATTAGCAAGAACTGAATAAAGATGAAAGAATCATATAAATGGCTTTGTTAAGTGTGATTTGAATAATGAGCAATGGTGTCAATGGTTTGGTCTCTATGAATGGGACGTTCCAATAGCTATGAAATGCATAAATAGAAAAACAGAACCCAATGAACCTAATCATTTGAAACAAATATCATATTCTTAACTTTAAATTTTTTTTCCTAATTTAGTGAATTGTAAATGATATGACAGGGTTAAAAGTTCAAATATGCCATTTTAATAAATAATCTAAGTGCGCATTAATATTTTCATCGATAATTACAGCTATCCTAGCCTTTACAAGAATGATTAAACATCCAGTAAAATAATAATTAATGATTCAAAATCATACAATTGTCACCTCATTGGACGAATAGGAACAATTTTAAGCTACCTGTGTCTCCTTTGTTGAAACAGTTGTTTCTTGTGTACCATAATTACACTTTTGGTACCTCTCAAGTGTCTTGAGCATGCTGGGCAAAAGGAAAAACAGCACAAATTCGTCCTTGAGTCAGCAAGATCACAAACGTTTATCATAAACCTCTCATTTATCACACACGTCCTAGCTCACATAGATACACCTCCCGCGTACATGCTCGTGTACATGCATGTGAGTGTGTATGCACACTAATGTGCGAAGGTGGAACCTATTAGTGCAATAGATTCCATAAGAGCTTCAAATTCAAGCTGGCATGTGTGAGGGTGTATAATGTGCGTGTGTTGGTAGCTAGTGACTTCAAGCATCAAATTCTATTCACTGTGGACACAGCTGTCGAGGAACACCTGCCATGTGGATTGCCGAACACCTATCGGACATATAAACTTCGTCTTTCCAAGAAGATAAGTTTTCAAGGACTAACTATTTTCATGCGGCATCAACATGGTGCTGAAACATGAATTAAACGATTCAAAATTCAAGTAATACAAAGATCATGATTTTGTTTTCTTCCAGTGGTTTCAGAGATTCATATAGAAAGCGAGAGGAGAATTGCATAAGTATGACAGACGTTTATTGAGTGCTCTTAAATATCTATCATTTGCCTCTTAGGTCAATGACCATCGAATAAGATTATTAAAAAAAAGAAAATTGTTTCATGCGGGCTAGACCGCATTTCTACATATGTGGTCCAAAAACTGTAACGCATCCATCTTAAAGATGGATGCAAGTAGGTGTTCCATATAAAAACAATGGAAACTAATGATCCAAATGTTTTCTTACTAGAACTATTATTTATAGTTTTTGAAATTTATTTATTTTTTATATTAATGATCTCCACGTTAGAGATTACATGTCCTTAAAAATTAAGTCTTAAAATCTATCTCAAAAATAGATTTATTAGGAGGCCTGCATTTCTACATATGTGGGCTTGGCTGCATGAAAACTGGGTCCTTAAAAAACATGTGTTTCTTTGAAGCTTTTTTTTTTGGATGAGTATTTTCCTTAAAGGTCAATGAAAAATTATCCCTTTTCACTTTCAACTGTTGGGGTCACCCATTTCAGCCCTCTCATAAATATGCCGGTGTGTACAATTGAACCCTTACATTTATAGGACAAAATACCGAAAGTTTTGTGTGTGTGCATATGAGTGGGAAAAATATACAAATAAAAAATAAATAATGCAATGGATCCAAGATTTACATGGTTCGCCTTTTACGGTAACGTTCTCAAGTGAAAGAGATGTTCAATCTGCTAAAAATAAATGAGTTACAAACTCCTTCCGAGAGGCAAGCTCTCTCTTAGGCTATAAGTCTCTCTAGACTTCTTCCAGAGGCTTCATCTTTGTAGGTTTTCCTTCCTTTGGGCTCTTTTTTATGCATGAGGCTTCTTAGGCTTTGTTCCACTCCGGATCAACCCTACAAAGCTCTCCCTTCTCTCCACTTCTCTTTGTCTTCTTTTACTCCACTTTGGATCAACCCTACAAGAGCTCTCTCTTGCTCTCCACTTCTCTTTCTCTTCCTTCCACACAAAGAAGAGGATCTCAAGATGAGAAACTCTCTCTTTTTACCAATACAAAGAAGAGGACCACATAAAGAAACCGTAGTCCCCTCACATAGGGCTTTTAAAGGGCTTCAATGACTTGCCTAGCAAGTCATTGATTTTTGTTTTCAAAACTGCCCTCCTCAATTAGACAATGCCAATCGAGGCCCCTCCCACATGGGATGGGATGCTCCCAACAATCTCCCCCTCCTGTCCAATGAGGGAGGTTCTCCTTTTTAGATCTACCCGATGCTCAGATAACACCCATATTAGTCATGTTTTTGCACAGCTCCTGCCCATCTCTAGCCAAGGTCTTCATAATGTCAATATGGATCTTCTTTAACTGTAGCAACTTCTTCTCTAGGAAATCCCGAATCAAATATTTATACACATCAATTTGCATCATCCTTGATTGGAAGCTACCATTCTTGCACAGGTGGAAGGTCTTAAGTCCTTCATGGCAAAGGCATTACACTTGTCACTCAACCTGTCAATCTTGACGAACACAATGGTCATCAACATACAATAAAAGAAATCAAATTTCTCATGAAGGACTTGATGAACACACAATGGTCTAAGGCTGTTCTCTAGTACCTGTGATTCTCCATGATGGAATAGAACTTCTTATACCACTAATCTAAGGCTTTTCAGTTGTATAGACTCTTTTGTAGCTTGTAAACCATGTGATTATTAAGCTTGTAAATTACTCCTCTTTGTGTTAATTGGATTGAGCTTCTTGGTGGCTTTCTAATTCACCCCCTTCGATATACAAGACATACATTGATGCAAGGTACCCGTTAGAGGGTTTATGTCCCCTAGAGGACCTTCTCTATTCAACTATAGGTTGCACTTCTTGAACACGTTGTTCCCCCCCCTCCACATTATCCATAATTGGCATGTCATATTCTTGGGACCCATCCTCTTGTTGCACTTCTCTCCCATCTTCATTAGACATCAGGGTGGAGGAACTATAACCAGTCCTTCTGAATCATTAAAGACTCATGGCTTCAATTTTAAGCCTTCTTGAAGAACCACATCCATACTCTTGAACATGTTCTCAAGGTCCCATAGCTTGTAGCTAAACTCTTCATTTGAGTACCTTAAAAAGATGCATAAGAGTGATTTCTCATCCAACTTGGATCTTTATTCCTTGGGTATGTGCATTAATGCCTTGCACCGGAATACCCTAAAGAGTGAATAAGAGATGTCATGGTCCAAACTCTCTCTGAGATTTTCTCATCTAAAGGAAATGATGGCAATCTATTTATAAAGTGGCATATTTTGAGGACTGTTGTAGCCCAATATAGCTTTGGTAACTTGGTGGTAGGTAGCATGCTTCTAACTTTGTCTATAATGGTACAATTTATCCCTTCTGCAACAACATAATAATGGGTTGGGGGGGTTTATGGATATGTTTTCTCGTGCCTTATACCATGCTTAGGAAGTAGCTTCTGAAAGCATTCAAGGTGTACTCTTCCCTATTGTTTGATTGAAGACACTTCAACGATCCTTTTGATTTTATCAAGTACACCCACACCTTTCTTGGAGCATCATTAATAAGCGTGATAAAGTACGAGGCATCACTAAGTGACTTCACATCCATGAAATCAACACATATGAATACACCAGATCCAGGACTTTCATACCTTTAGAGCTCTTACAAGTAAACGAGACTCTATATTGTTTGCTTAGCAAACAATGATAATATGGGGTTAGGGATGTATTCTTAATACTTGGTAGGATTTGCTTCTTTTCTAGAATCTACATTTCTTTTTCACTTATATGGTTGAGACACTTGTACCACAGGCCTAGTAAGCTTTCGTCTAGGGTGGCATTAACTTCACCATTGGAGACATGCACCTGTGTTCTATCGAGTGAACAACACTTCTTGCCTTTGCTATGACAAGATATTACTTTGTCAACTTCTAGTGTCCCTTGTTGAACACTCAATGATATGCTCCATCATCTAAGGACCCTCTTGAGACGAGGTTTAGATGGATATCTAGTATGTTTGACATTTTTCAGAGCTAGCTTCATCTTAATATTAGTCTTGATGTGTACATCCCTTATCCACAATCTTTGAAGAACTATTATTCCTCATCTTTACAAAGCCAAAGTCTCTTGCTCTGTAAGAAGCAAAATAGTATCTATGTTGGTAACATGGAATGATGCTATGGTATCTGCAAACTAATCAGAGTTGTACAAACTTGATGCAATACTGATACACCCATCATCGTTGTTCCCGACCACTCCAATATCTATTGTTATTGCAGTGATTTCTCCATATTGTTCTTGGCATTGTCCTCATTTTGCTCCCTCTTAATCTTCCGACACTCTTTCTTTATGTGCCCATTACTACTCTAATTAATGTAAGTGACTCCCTTTCTCAACTTCGATCTACCTTTATCCTTGGATTGGTTAGATCGATTTTGGTCTCAATTCATGGACCTTCCTCGGTTTGTGACAAGAGCTTACAAGGTATATATGTCAAAGGATCTTCTTCTCGTCTTCTCATTCAATAGGTTGCTAGTGCCTTAACTCATGGTCACTTGCCCCTCAGGCATTAAGTTTCTTAGGAGATCATAGTCTTCCAGTTGTTAAGTAGTGAACTAAGCAACAACAAATCTTGCTGCTCAACATCAAGGGACATCTTCATCATTGCGAGTTTGTTAACAATACCTTACACCTTATTCAAGAGCTTTGCAATGGAAACCCCGTGCTTGAATTTAAAGTTCACTAACTTCTAAATCAAGAACGCCTACTCTTGGCTGTCTTTCTCTTGTAGTAGTCATGTAGCTTGTCCTACATTAACTTGGAAAAGGTCCCACTCGACACATAGTGGAACACAACTTCATCCAGCTATTGTCGTATAGTTTTGAGCGCCTTTCAATATAGCTTCTTCCACCTATCATTGGTCATGGTTTCGAACATGTGTTCTACCCCTTTAGTGGCCATGTACAATCCCAACAATGTAGATAATCTTCCATCTTTGGCTTCAAAATGATCCAATTCTGTTGAGTGAAATCATCCTACTCCCAATATTACAATCCATCTTTGATCCACATACAAATTTTTCACAGCCCTTCTCTTCTCCCTTTCTTCCTCTGGCTGATACTTATGCCATGCCCTCATTGATGGTCAGGAAGGGTCACCGATTGTTAGGGTCTGTAACCAATGGTCAAGATGTCAACAACAGCCACGAGCGCTTAGGCTATCAAGTTGTCACCGGTGGTCAAAGTCCCACCGACTGTCAAGCTTTCATTGACGATCAAGGTCCCACCAACTATCAAGTCCTCATCGGTGGTCAAGGTGTCAATGGGGTTTAAGCGTCACCAGCAACAAAGGTGTGTTACCTTCAGTTAAGGTTAGTCAGCGACTGCTACACTTTACTGCTAGTAAAGGTGGTGACCTGCAGTCAAAATAATTATTGCAGTCAAGACCTTTCTACACAATAGCTACTCACCAACAGTCTCTGACTGAGGTATGTCCCTTACT